GGTACAAAACGGTGATTTCCTCCTTCCTGTCTGTTGCAGAGTGAAGCAGCATGGATGCTGTCAGCCAGGTCCCGGTGGAAGTTGTGCTCCCCAAACACATCCTGGACATCTGGGTCATTGTCCTCATCATCCTGGCCACCGTTGTCATCATGACCTCCCTGTTGCTGTGCCCGGCCACTGCGGTCATCATCTATCGCATGCGGGCTCATCCTGTCCTCAATGGGGCTGTGTGAGAACCTCCCAGGAGGGGCAGGGGAGGATGAGGACAGCGTCCCCTCCCCCAGCCTCTTTCCCATTCTCAGAAAAGACGCAGGAGGGGCTTTGGAAACGGACTCCGGAGCTTGATACATAGGAGGAGACCTGAGCTCTGGTTTGGATTCTGCCACTGGCCAGCTGAGTGAGTTCCGTCATGGGACCCAATCCTATGAGTTCCAGGCTCCTTGTCTTTCCAGTGGGGACCACTATCCCCGCCCTTCCTACCTCAGAGGGTTGCGAGAACCAATGGCTCGGTGGAGGTGAAAACTGTTTGTGGGCAGTAAAGCCACCATAGATGTGCAGGAGTTATTGCTGAGTGCTGAGAAGCTCTGAAGAACCAAAGAACCTAACTGCTGCTCATGGCCTTCAAGATGGTGAGGGACACACGGAGGGCAGAGCGGCCTTTCCCCAGTGCCCCTCGGGTCAGACCAAGCAAAAGCACCCTGTCCTCACTCCAAGGGGCTAGCAGCACATTGGCTCAGTTATTTTCTTTGAGGTGCCACTCCCTCAAGTTTTCTAATTTGATAGGGAATTGATCATGGCACAGGGCGGGAGATGGGTAGAACTTCCCAAGACCTTCTCTGTGCCAGAAATCTCTGCCCTTATGCAGGAGGAGGACTCTGCCATTTCTTGGCAATGCCAAGGGAGCTGGGGCAACTCTTTCTGCACGGGAGTCTTATAGCTTTGACACTCAAGCAATGTTGGGAAGTGCAGGGTGGCTGAGTTCCCTGGGCGGCTTTCAGAATCTCCAGCCCCTACCCCTTGAGTGTGCCACCGGAGAGCTGCCCCAGCTCCTGCTGTAATTAGCTCCACAGTGTACCGTGTATTTCCTTCACTCCCTCCCACCAGCACTGCAACCAACCCAAGATACAGACTTACATTTTAAGAGATATTCCCAGGGCTTTTGGAACTAACTTAAAACAATGATGGTTATTTTGGATGCTATGATTTATATTTATATAGAAAGATTTGTGGGCTGCTCAAGCTCTTTGAGCAAAATCAGGAACATCCTGGGGTTTATTAAATTATGTTAAAAAATAGCACAGATATCAGGATATTATTATGTGACAATGATGCTTTTACTTTTTATCTGATTTCACTGATGTACACCATCAATTTCCAATAAAGTGCTAGAACGACCCTGTCTGAGGTTTTTCTTCAACGAGCACAAATTAAATTCTGGAACTCAGGTAAAAGGAGTCCACTGAATTTATGGGCCTTAGAGACACAGTTTGAATATAGGAACAGAAAGGGAAAAAGAGGAATCAAGTCGACTTCCAGAGCTCTAGCTTTGGCAAGTGGGTGAATAGTTGTGCAATGCACACACAGAACGCAAGGAGAAGAACAGATTTTGGAAGTAGGATGATGAATTTAGAATCGGACATGTTGAATTTGAGGTGCTCGTGATATTCATGTGGACACTTTCGGGATGCAGTTGGAAACCTCGGTCTGTTCTTTGGGAGAGATTTATAGCCGGAATTATGTTTTGGGGGTTATCTGCAAATATACAAGTAGACAGGATCACCCAGGCAGACTGTACAGACTGAGAGGAGTGAGGTGCTAAATGCAGAACCCGGAGAACACTGAACAGAAGTGGAAGGGGAACAGAGAGAAAAAAGCAAAGCAAGGAGATTGAACATGTCATGTGATGAAAGGTGATATGAGAGGGATGCAATCATACCTTGAGAGTTAAGGAATGAGTGGGTGCTTAGGAAGTGGAGATAGTGGGAACAGGCAGCTCATTCTAGAAACAGGACTGTAGTGTAGAGGTAGGAGTTAGACGAGGGTATCTGTAGAGGTAGGAGTTAGACGAGGGTATCGGGGAAAAATGGCCAAGGGTAAACATGAGCTGTATGAGGCTGCTGCCGGCATAACATGGCGTACTATGTGACAGCAAACTGTTTTTATAAGTAGAAAGAGTGCACTCTAAAGGATCCAGACCCTTCTTCCTCCCATGTACACTCCAATTCGACAATACACAGACTAATTCCATTGGTGATAAATCTGGAGATCAACTGAGAGGCTCCTGTGCCCGGTGCAAGAGCAAACTCAGTTGTAACTGGAGCTGGTAGGAACATTTGTGGTACCCTCTTGCCATATCCCTCCCTCAGCANAAAAGGACTTTTTTAGTTGCTTAGAAAAATGGTCCCAGGAGTAAAACTTGATGTTTCTCAAGCAGGCAGCAGGGCACCCCCTTTCCTTCCTAGGTTGGACCAAGCACAATACTTGATAGATGGGATGAATTTTCCACCTTTGGAGAAGATGCAATGTTTTCCTTCTTCGGAGGAATTACAGTTTTTTACCCTTACGCTTCGTTTTTTTTAATGGACACAAAATAGTCATTTTAGGATTAGTAACCTTTCCACTGAATTGTCTAAATTGCTTAAGCGTGGGGCTGGTGGTGTAGGGCCTGGATGGTGTCAGTGGCTGATGATATGTGTGGCTTCTTTGTTTGTCAGCTCAGGGTGGTGTTAATGCAGTTCCGTAGTAAATTTATATTGAGCATATGTCAAAGTTTATTATTCATTAATGAGGTAAACAGATAAAGTATGCCAGTTTAAAATGATAGGAATGTAGGCCTGACTGCTGTTTTACCTCCTTTGGTCATAAAAACATCATATTTTTATCAGCGATAAGGTTAAGTTTGTGACATGAATGGTTTGGGCCATGACCCATTAATCAGAAATAACAAGCAATATATCTGCAAACCAAACAATAGGCAGATTGATCTATGGTTATTAATTAGATGCACCAAAAAACGGTTTTATGCAGTCACAAGGAGCCATTGTATTCAGATGCCAAACAGAGGTCAAACAAAAGTCAGCTAGCAGCAGCTTAGAGTCCTGCTTTTTCTCAAGCAAATTTTTCCAGCATGCCATTAAAGATGCTAAACATATGGTTTGCAGAGTTCTTATTTTGGGGACAAAGTTTTTCTTTCCCAGTGAGGAGAGGTGGAAGTGACTGGAACCCCTATTACGTAGGAAGGAACAGCCCACTACGTCTTTGAGGACTGAAAACCTCTGGACCTGTTTTGCCATCTGTGAAATAAGGCTGGTTCTAGTAGCTTCAGTGCTCCGTGATTCTTGGGTATGGATGAGCCCTGATGCCTGAGTTCCTGTAAATGACAGGTTTTGCTTACAAAAATCAGCCAGGGAGATGGTGTATTCCTGGCATATGTAGTCACAGAGACTGTTTGATGTTAATGGGTTTACCAGAAAAAGCTTTTGTGGGGTTCCAAGGCCAGCTAGCTATTGATGTAATCGGGAGACCACAAAGAATGACTTCTCCCGCCTCCACACCTCCTTAGCAGTGTGCGTGAGTCACAAGAGACTCATGCTTCTGTGCCTTAGACCTCAGAGAAAGTGACCACGTTTCCATGGCTGAGGCAGGGCCGGACTATGCCTCTCCCCTGCCAGATGCTCCTGAGGCCCTAGGGCGCCTTGCTGGAGGCTTCTCCTTCATCCTGGACATGCCTACATCTGACCAGACTGGTCAGGTAAAAAAAAAAAATCCAAAACAAAAAATCCAGGAAAGAAGAAAAACGGAAACAAAACGGCGTTGCTTCTTTGACAATATCAAATTCGTAGGCCCCGGGGATTCCTCATCTATGCTGCTTCCAGTGACTAGAAACCCTATGCCCAACCCCATGGATCTTAGAATCTAGAAGCAATCAGCTGTTGTTGTATAATGTCAATGAAAATTACAATAGCAGTAAATTTTCATATATGTACAGTCACTTAAAAAAAGTAATATACACCCATGTTGAGGAAAGTCAAGCAGCATAAAGACAAGAAGAATGAAAAGCAAAAACTTCCACTCCTCGTCTAACTCTATTAGTGATCACCCAAAGGTGATCACTATTAACATTGTCTTGGGGGTCCTCCCGTAAAAGAATTTTCATTTATATAGCCTCACCTATCTACCTACTTAATTCTACAGAATCTGAACCAGAGGAATCATCCTAAACATGATTATCCTACACTTAAAATATTTTGGAGCTCACCACAGATCGTCATTCTTTTTAGCAACTAGTGAGTTAATATTTGTGACACACTGGGACAATGCTTGGTGTGTAGCAACCACTATATATTTGTTAACTGAATGAATGAATGAAAATCGCTGTATGGTATTCCATTATATGGATATATACCCTGCTTTATTTTACTATTTGTGGACACGTCTGTTACGTCAATTGCTATAACAAACACTGCAGAAACGAACATTCTTGTACGTCCATTTTGGAGGCTCTATGTTGGGTATGGCAATCAGTACTTTACTTAGAGTGGCAACAGTGGGCACGGAGCCAAAGGCCTTAGAAAGGAAAAGTTACTGGTTAGGTATAAAAGCAGGAAATAGGACCGGAATCGGGAATTGTGCCCAGGACTTAGAATCACAGAATTAAAAAGATCTTCGATCTAGAAGGAACCATAGGAAATCATTTGTTCCAGCCTCTGGGCAGGAGAATGTGTTACATCTGTGATTCTCAAGTTGTTCACTGAGCCCTGGAAGACACAGTGAAATCACTGGAAAAGTGTGTATATGGGGGCTTTAAAAGTTTTTGACAGGAATATTGATATTTGACATCACTCAGATACTGCGTAATCTACTAGCTCAAGATAGTTTACGGTTTAACGTTAATCACAGTACATTCCTTTTGGTGATGTTATAAAGTTGTGAAGCTAAGTTTTTGGCGGTTGCCATGATACAGCAAGTATTCGCAAAAATGAATGTTGAGTAGGAAGTGAGCGTGGCCTTGTCCAACCCGACTCCAGCGTTTCAAAAGTTGCGCAGTGTCCAACCGCTGCATACATCCCATGAGTCAGTAACTGGGTAAGAAAATGAAATAGAAATGTTTTTNTGTTGCTCAGAGCTCAAACTCTTGAGCGAGCTCTTAACCAACTGAGCCACTCGGCCGGCCCTCCCATTGTGGGTTTTTAACACTACTCTGTAGTATGAGTGTAAAGGAAGGACTTCCCTGCCCTTTTCCACCCAGAAGTGTCTCCTGGATTGTCTTCACCCAGAAGAGCATCCATCATATTCCTTCACCCAGAAGAGCGTTCTATATTCCTTCCAGAATATAGGCACTTGGGATGCGTGGATGGGAGAATTGTGTGTGCAGTGCCTATACCACTGAGTAGAGAGGGAAGGCATTCGGTGAGGAGAAGCAAGCTGTGCTGGGTGAAGTCAGTGCTGGGCAGAGCTGGAACCTAGGTGAAGGTATCCATTCCTCTCCCAGTTCTTCATTTCATATGCATGTGGGCTAATCCCCAATTGGTGGAATCCCCCAGTACAAGTAGGATTCCAGTGTCTCTGCCCCTCTCCTCTGATGTTCTTACCCACAGTGAGGAATAAATAAGTTACAAGGCTGAGCCATTACCGTCTTCAATAGCTTTGTTTGCATTTGAGCCTGAAATCAAAGAGATAAAATGCAAAGGGTAGAACTGTATACATCAGTGATTCTAACAGGACATTTCCTTCTTTTGCTTTTGGGGTGTGTGTGTGTGTGTGTGTGTGTGTGTGTTCCTGGAAAACCATCTCATCTGTGGTGAAGTTGCTTAGGGCTCTGGGCCTCAAGGTCCCCCATAGGCTTGTACATAGTAAAACGGTGTAATGAAGAAGTCTGGCTGGCTCTCACTGTTTACATCAGTTTATTCTCTATCACTGCTTTCTCCAGCCTGACTCCCCACTTTCTTCCCCAGCTCCCGTCTCAAACAGGATAGCGATGAAACTGAAAAAGAGCACTGCAACTCAGGAGGCCTGAGTTCTCTTCTCCATTCTGCCATTAACTTTCTATGTGACCTTGGGCAAATCATTGTCTTCAATCTGTAAAATGAAAGGTAGGTTATGTGGTTTAAACTAGATAGTGTCTATAGTCTGTGTAGGTTTCTAGATTACCATTAGTTTGTAGAAGTTTCATCTGTTCAGAACAAACCCAGTGGGATATAATATTGCAATATTTTCTATTGATGCCATAACAAATTAACATAAATTTAGTGGCTTAACACATGTGTTCATGATTTCACAGTTTACAGTCTTTCTATTATTGGTATTTTTCAGTTCTGGAATTTCTATTGGGCTCTTTTTTAAAATAAAAAATGCTGTTTTCTTATAGTTTATAGTTCTCTGTCAGAATTCTGAAT